GAGGATACCAGAAAATGGAAAGACCTCCCCTGCTCTTGGATTGGGAGAATCAACATAGTAAAAATGGCAATTCTACCAAAAGCAATCTATACATTCAATGCAATCCCTATCAAAATCACATCAAACTTCTTCACAGACCTTGATAGAACAATAATCAAGTTTATATGGCAAAATCAAAAACCCAGGATAGCCAAAGCAATCTTATACAATAAAGGAACTTCTGGAGGCATTACCATCCCTGACTTCAAACTCTATTACAGAGCTACAGTATTGAAAACAGCTTGGTATTGTCAAAGAACAGAGAAGTCGACCTATGGAATCGAATAGAAGACCCGGATATCCACCCACAAACCTATGAACACCTAATATTCGACAAGGGAGCTGAAGATATACAATGGAAGAAGGAAAGCATCTTTAACAAATGGTGCTGGAATAAATAAATGTCAACCTGGAGAAGAATGAAAGTAGATCCATATCTATCACCATGCACAAAACTCAAGTCCAAATGGATTAAAGACATCAACATTAATCTGTCCACTTTGAACCTGATAGAAGAGAAAGTGGGAAGTAGTTTACAAGATATAGGCACAGGAGGCCACTTCCTAAGTAGAACCCCAGTAGCACAGACAATAAGAGAAACAATGAATAAATGTGACCTCCTGAAACTGAGAAGCTTCTGTAAAGCAAAGGACACTGTTAGTAAGACAAAAAGGCTACCTTCGGACTGGGAGAAGATCTTCACCAACCCCTCATCAGACAAAGGTCTGATCTCCAAAATATACAAAGAACTCAAGAAACTAGACACTAAATCTCTAATTCACCCAATTAAAAAGTGGGGTACTGAACTGAACAGAGAATTCACAACAGATGAACTTTGAATGGCCAGAAGACACTTAAGGACATGCTCAACCTCCTTAGCGATCAGGGAAATGCAAATCAAAACCACTTTGAGATACCATCTTACATCTGTCAGAATAGCTAAACTCAAAAACACCAATGATAGCCTATGCTGGAGAGGATGTGGAGTGAGGGGAACACTCATCCATTGTTGGTGGGAATGCAAACTTGTACAGCCGCTGTGGAAATCAGTGTGGCGGTTTCTCAGGAAACTGGGAGTCAACCTCCCTCAGGACCCAGCAATTCCACTCTTGGGAATATACCCAAGAGATGCCCTATCATACTACAAAAGTATTTGCTCAGCTATGTTCATAGCTGTACTATTTGTAATAGCCAGAACCTGGAAACAACCTAGGTGCCCCTCAATAGAAGAATGGTTAAAAAAGGTGTGGAATATATATACATTAGAGTGCTACTCAGCGGTAAAAAACACTGACATCTTGAATTTTGCATGCAAATGGATGGAAATAGAAAACACTTTGCTGAATGAGGTAACCCAGACCCCAAAAGAGGAATATGGTATGTACTCACTCATAAGTGGATTCTAGCCATAGTTAAAGGTCTGTGAGTCTATAATTTGTGATCCTAGAGAAGGTAAATAAGAAGGTGAACCTGAAGAAAATCATGTAGTTATCCTCCTGGATATTAGAACTAGGCAAGATTGCCAGGGAAACTCGGGTGCATGGGGGGTAAGAGGGTGGAAGTAGGGGAAGATGATTAGGGAGAGGGGAGAGGGGGAGGATTGGGGATGACTTGGGGGAATGGGATGGGGGGAGGGAGGAAGGATGGTTCTGGGAGCAGGGAAGTTTATATCTCAACTAAGAGAGCCTTTTTAGGGTTTGCAAGAGACTTGATTCTGGAGGAGTTCCCAGGCCCAAGGAGAGGTCCCCAGATTGTACTCTGGGCAGGAGAGGAGAGGGTGCCTGAACTGGCCTTGGCTCATAACCATACTGACGAATATTTTGCATGTCACCACAGAACCTCATATAGTGATGAATGGAGATAGAGACAGAGCCACATATTGGAACACTGGACTTAACTCCCTAGGTCCAAATGAGAAGCAGAGGGAGGGAGATCGTGAGCAAGGAAAGCAAAATCTGAGGGAGCCTTCATCCGACGATGGATGGAGATAGATACGAACACCCACATTGGAGCACTGGAAGTCAGGACAGCGAAGGGAGCGTTCACCCACTGATACAAGGGGACTGATCGAATGAGAGCTCACCAAGGCCAGTTGGACTGGGACTGAACAAGCACGTGATCAAACAGGATTCTCTGAATGTGGCTGACATGGGGGCTGACTTAGCCCCCGAGGTCCAGATGAAGACTGAGAAGCCATTGACAATGGCACTGGGTCTTGTTTTGTCTGCATGGACTGGCTTTTTGGGATCCTGGCCTGTTTGGATGCTCACCTTCCTGGACCCGGAGGGAGGGGGGAGGAACTTGGATTCCCCAAAGGACAGGAAACCCTGACTGCTCTTGGGAATGGTGAGGGAGGAGGAGAGGGAGTGGGGGGAGTGGGAGGGTATTGGGAGTAGGGGAGGAAGTGGAAAGAGTGTTTTCGGATACTTGAATAAACAAAAAAAAGAGAAAAAAAATTATAAAATATTTCAATGTCTGGGCTTGGTATACAGCTCGATGGTAGAAGGTTTGCTTAGTGTGCACAAGGCCCTGGTTTTGATACATTGAGCTTTAAAGCAAATGAATGTACAGAATTTAAAAGAGACTCCTTTCCAACTTCTCAAAGACTTAGATAACACAGAAGCGAGGGCAGAAAGAACATTAGAGCCAGGATGAAGAGAGGAAAGCTGCAATGCTGTCTTCCATATTCTGGAATTCCATGAAGCTAGGACTACCTCTGCAACCCCTTTGGTTGTCAACATAACTGCAGGAAGTTCAGGGTCCTGCACCTGCCTGAGGACTTGCACACAGCTAGCTCCTGTGGTGGGAAAGCAAAGTGGCTCAATCAACACCAGTAAAATCCCTGGGATCTATAATGTGGAGTGAGAGAACAGAGTGCCACAAGTTGTCTTCTGACATTTACGTGTGCTCCATGGGATATATGTTCCTCTGTGATAAATGAACAAGTATAATAAAAAATCAAAAAGAAATAAGGCAAGAAGTCTCTGTCACTGGTGGACCATTTGTTAATTGTTCACGTGTTTTAAATAGCCTCTCATTCACTCATGGTTCTGTAAATCAGTCCAGTTAAATTCACTGGTACACACACAAAACTAATAAAAAGTAAGAGAAATATTACATATAAAAATTATATTGGGTCCAGGTATGACACACACCCTTAATCATAGCACTTGGAAGGCAGAAGGAGGAGGATCTCTGAGTTCAAGGCAAGCCTCGTCTACATAATGAGTGACAGAACAGCCAGGGCTACATAAAGAGATTCACTTTTTAAAAAAGCAATAAATGAATAAATAAAAAAGATATTAGGTCATTGAAAAGCATAAAAAATACTATCAAGTGTTGACAAGCAATAATTTTGCAAGGAGACATTCAGACAGGAAACCTATCGTTGGCAATGAATAACAAGGTCTTTATGGGGTGTGCATCTCAGCAGATCCCTGGGTTAAGAATGGATGAGTAGAGATGAAGAGGCAGATCCTCCTCCCACTTTTTTCTGTCTCATAGCATAATGATGACACCTACTCCAAAGCTCTAACCAAACTCCAGCATCAGCAACAGGGAACAGCTCTTGCTGCTGGCTCAGCCACTTTACAGAAACATTGAGAACAATGACCCAAGGAGGACACTGACCCAAGGAAGAGCACTTTGGGTTTTAAATACATTGGATCTTCAAAGTCAGTTCAATAAGATAAGAAATGGGGATATAAGGTTCTATCAAAATCCTGGCAGGAAATAGTGATGTACACACTTTTAATTCCAGAACTCAGGAGGCAGGGGCAGTTGGATCTCTGTGAGTTCGAGGCCACTTTGGTCTTGTAGAGCTTGTTTCAAAATATCCAGGACTATTACACACAGAAACCCTGTCTGTGGTAAATGAAATCTTGGCAGTGGCTGATAAGAAGGGTCAGCAGAAAAAAAGGATTTGAACTATGCCTTGTAACCTGAGTTAAATACCCTGGAAGTAGAAGACCAATACCATAAGTTTCCTCTGACCTACATATGTGCACCATGCTACATGTCTCCCCCAAGAAGAAAAATTAAATATAAACAATGAAAAATATCAACATTTGCAAAGGAATTTTTTAATACAAAGCATAAAACATTTAACAAGTTTGTAGCTATGTCTTTCTATCCCTGCTGTCAATGGACATGCTAAAGTCTACACTGAGTAAGGAGTAAGCACTTCTATAGGGAAATGAGTGAATGTGGCAAAGACATGATATCACAACCTTGTGTAACCCAGGTTGGCTCCTAACTCATAATCTTTCTTCCCTTACCTCCTTTAGCAAGTCCTCCCAGCAGGCTCCACCCATACCAGTGATATCACACATTTATCAGAACAGATTAGAGGGACATAAAACAGTGCATTTGATATAATGAAAAATAAGTTTCAGATGAGAAAATAATAAGATGTTGACACTGGATAAAATACAAGGCTCTGCCAGGTGTTGTGGCCCATGTCTTTATTCCCAGCAATCAGAATCAATGACAGGTAGATCTCTGTTACTTTGAGGCCAATCTGGTCTACAAAATGACTTCCAGAACAGCCAGGACTGTTACAGAGAAACCCTATCTCAATAAATAAATTAACACATTTTCTCTCTCTCTGTCTCTCTGTCTCTCTCTCTCTCTCTGTCTCTCTCTCTCTCTCACACACACACACACTCTCTCTCTCTCTCTCTCTCTCTCTCTCTCTCTCTCACACACACACACACACACACACACACACACACACACACACACGAGGTCCAGAGTCCATTGAGCCTCAAATCCTGTTCAAACTCCATAGCATGCAATGTTCTCAAGATAATCAGACCTGTGAACCATAGCACTAATGACATACATTGTCACCTTTACAACAGAGAAGTCATTACTGTAATTCTCTGCTCACATAGTCATTGTACAATTAGAGTATATCCTCCTAAGAAGAATCAACTCACATAACTATCTAGAATACTTACCCCCATATTTTCCCATACTTTTTATAGCACTCAACATCGAATTTCCATATACCCTAGAAAGAAAATGAGTGTGAATTCCATTGTTCTGTATGAATCAATCCTTTTGTAGCCAAGGAACCAAACCCTCAAGTCCTGTGAAATGCAGTTTTCCAATTCTGAGAGAGAAAATTTGTCAGATACATATAGTGGCACCAGCAAGATGCCTCATCAAAAGAAGCAGAATGGTAGGGCAGGATAACTGACATCTTCCTGTAGTCTCTGCACACACACTCATAGATATATACATGTGCACAGCACCAAATACATACCACACACGATAATGATGATTATTATGAATATGATAATAAATTGTCTTAAAGAATGTGGTAGTTAAGTATAGAAAGCTTTAGGAAGAAAAACATTAGCAGATGGCTGCACTAGTTTTGCCTCTTGCCCTCTGGATTTGAACTTGGGTAGGTCTGCTGAGGACTGATCATGGGCCAGGTGTCAAACCAAGTTTGCATCTAAAGATCCACCTAGACTTAAATGTGGCATGTGATAGGCTCATTATTAATATTTTTTAAACCACACTTTTTTCAGTGATTTTGCCTTCAATAACTTTCAGCGAAAATACAAAGCACATTGTGTAGTCAAGCATGTGAGGTGACTGACAGTCACCATCTTGTCTCAGGTTTTCACACTTGTTGCTCACACTCATTCACGGCCTACTGCCTTTAAAATAAGAGAGGATAGGTCCACTTCCATGTTAAATCACTTGCTGGCATGTCTAAATTCCTGGATTCTATTTTCATGACTACAAAAACAATACAGAATAGAAAACCTGTCTTTAGGGCTGGAAATGTGACTCTGCAGTTCAGAGTACATGCTGATCTTCCTGAGGGTCCACAGAACTCACATCCAATACCTTACAACCATCTGTATCTCTTGTACCAGTGAATCCTTTATCCTCTTTTGGCTGTTGTATGAACTGCACTTATGTTCATAAACTCAAATGTAGATACTCATATACACAAATAGAGTCCTTCGAAAAGAAACAATCACTAACCTGGACAAAAGTTCCTATAGGAAGTTCCAAACAGAAATTATTATAATTCTCAAGACTCCTTCAACCTGCCATAAATAGTAAATGGTGAGGCTAAATCTATAGAAATATTTTCAAGTTTCAATGGTCATGCAGAGAAACCAAGTACATAAAAACATCATTGGGGCAATGATGTTTATGTAGGTCTGTGATATGCTGATGCTTCAGATATATTCAGAAGAAGTAGAAAATATTGCTCATGATCTGGATACAAAGAGGAAACTTTTAATCTAGTGCATCCAGGCGATGTCCTAGATGCTGAACGCCCCTCAATATTTACTTCAAAAAATACAGAAGTGCCTTCACAGAATCTGCACTAGGTAAGAAACAAACTTCCTTTTGCTCACAAAGTCTGAGCATCATGTCCTGAATATCAAGAATAAATGGGCTTGAGATGTGTGCATTTCACCAAAGGCAAACTTGAGGCTCAATAAACTGGCATCAGGGCTGGTGAGATGGTTCCAAATGAAAAGTCATTTGTTACCAACTCTTGCAACCTGACATTCATCCCTAGGACTCATATGTTGGGAAGAGTAAACTGAATCCCGAAAGATGTCCCTTGATCTACATATGCATGCTGTGGCACATACACACTTAACCCAAAATTAATAAATATTGGGGGAAGTTGACAAGGGGAACTATGACGATGGTCAGTGGGAAGAGACATCATAAAAGTTAGAGATTGTATTCCCAGTATCTGTGTCAATCTGAGGCAGGGTTAAAGTCTTCCAGTATTCCCAATTGCAGGAGCCAGAGTCAAAGGAGCCCTGGAGGAAGTTGGCCAGATAAACAAGTGATGTCTGAGAGAACTTGATGTTTAAGAGGCCTTGCTTCAAAATATAAAGTGAAGATTAATCAAGAAGACACCCAACACCAAGCTCTGATCACAATATGCACACATATATCTATGCATATGCATCTTCACACACATGGGCACTATTGCACAGGCAAATTCATTCTTACACACTATAAACACACACACACACACACACACACAAACATTTGATAGTTTTAAGTTGGCAATTAGTCTCCAAGGAACCACTAGACGTTCTCTAGTATCATGATAACACACAGCAAAAGGGCATGAAATCTGAGAGTTTCTTCCCAAGGAACATTTAAGTGAACCAAACTATTATTGACTACAGGAATCAATACTCAACTGAGTCAGTGAACCAGAGATAGAGACCACTGATGGTACAAAAGTAAATCTGAGACCTTCAAGGGAATAGATATAAGCCAGGACCCCAGTGGGTCTGGAACCTCCCAGGAACTAGGCCTGAACTAGGACTCTGTCAGTCTGGGCGTGAGGGAACCTGGGACCTCTGAGGTAGGAACCAGAGATCTCAGTGAAGCCAGGTGTGAATCTGGGTCCTCAGTGAAAGTAGGCCTGAGCCAGAACTTCTGTGGATCCAGGTATTGGTCTGGGCCATGAAAGGGAATAGGCGGGAACCTGGAACCTGTGCATGTCCAAGCATGAGTCTGGGGCTGCTGAGGGAGTAAGCAGGTACTCTTCGGGTCTGGGTGCAACAAAATCTCAGAAAAATCCAACCATACCTGTTAGAGGAAAAGATGATTAGAAAAGTAAAGAACATACCCAACATCACAAAGAACAACACAATACCAATAAAACCTAAGGAACCTACAACAGCAAGACCTAAACAACCAAATATGGATGAAGCAGAAGAAAATGACCTAAAAAATGACTTCTAGAGAATGTCTAAAACTCTAAAAGAGGAAATGAGAAATTCTCTTAAAGAAATAGAGGAAAAAAGAAACAAAAAGTTGGAAGACATCAGCAAATCACTTAAAGAAAACCAAGAAAAAGTAATCAAACATATAAAAGAAACTATTCAGGACATAAAAACTGAAATAGAGCCAATAAAGAAAACACAAACTGAGGCAATTATAGAAACAGAAATCAAGAGAAAATGATCAGGAACCATAAACACAAACATGAACAGAAGCATACAAGAGATAGAAGAGAGAATCTCAAGCGCTAAAGATACAATAGAGGAAATGGACTCATCAGTCAAAGAAAACATTAACACTAACAAGAGCATAACCCAAAATATCCAGGAAATATGGGGCACCATGAAAAGACCAAATCTAAGAATAATAGGTATAGAAGAAGGAGAAGGAGTTCAATTCCAAAGCGCAGAAAATATATTTAACATAATCATAGAAGAAAACTTCCCAACCTAAAGAAAGATATACCTATGAAGATACAAAAAGCTTACAGAACACCAAATAGACTAGATCCAAATAAAAAGTCTTCTTGCCACATAATAATCAAAAAACTAATAATACAGAGTAAAGAAGTAATATTAAGAGCTGCAAAGGAAAAAGGTCACGTAAAATATAAAGGTAGACCTATCAGAATAATACCCGATTTCTCATTGGAAACAATGAAAGCCAGAAGGTCATAGTCAAGCATTATGCACACATTAAGAGACCAGGTATGCCAGCCCAGACTACTATAAATTGCAAAACTGTCAATCACCATAGAAGGACAAAACAAAATATTCCATGACAAAACCAGATTTAACCAATACCTAGCAACAAATCCAGTCCTACACAAAATTCTAGAAGGAAAACTCCAACCCAAGGAAGTTGGCTATACCAACAAAATCACTGAAAATTGATGCAATTTGTGCATTGCACAAAATCCCAAGGAATGAAAAAAGACACAAATCAACATCAGCAACAATGAAAACTAAATTAACAGGAAATAGCAATCACTGGTCATTAATATCCTTTAATGTAAATAGACTCAACTCACGTATCAAAAGACAAAGGCTAACAAAAACAGAATCCATTCTTCTTCTGCATATAAGAAATGCATCTCAAACTCAAAGACAGACATCATCTCAGAATAAAGGGTTTGGAAAAATTATACCAATCAAATGGATATGAGAAACAAGTGACTGTAGCTATCCAAATATCTAAAAAAATAGACTTCAAGCTAAAATCAGTCAAAAGAGACAAAGAAGGTCATTTCATATTAGTTGCAGGAAACAACCATCAAGAGGAATTTCAGTACTGAACATCTATGCCCTCAATACAAGGGCACCCTCACATGTAAAAGAAACACTTCTAATGCTTAATAGTACATTAAACCCCACACACTAATAGTGGGAGACTTCAACACTCCCCTCTCATGAGTGGACAGGTCAGTCAGACAAAAAGTAAAAAGAGAAGTGAGAGAGCTAACAGATGTTATGACTCAAATGGACTTAACAGACATCTATAGAATATTTTATTCAAACAGAAATGAATATATCTTCTTCTCAGCACCTCATGGTACTTTCTCAAAAATAGACCACATACTCATTAACAAAACAAACCTAAACAAATACAAAAATTTGGAATAACCCAACGTACCTTATCAGATCACCATGGTCTAAGACTAGAAGTCAACAGCAATACCAATTTCAGAAAACCCACAAATACATGGAAATTAAACAATGCTCACCTGAACCATCAGTGGTTCAAGGAAGAAATAAAGGGAGAAATTAAAGACTTCCTAAAATTCAATGAAAATGATCAAAAACATATCCAAATTTATGGGACACAATGAAAGTGGCGTTAAGAGGAAAGTTCATAGCACTAAACACCTACATAAAGAAGCTGGAAAAATCCCACACTAGTGAATTAATATAACATTAAAAAATTTTAGGATAAAAAGGAATCAATAATAGAAACCTTATAGTAATTCAGCAGAGTTCCTAAAATTGTCAGAGGTTTGGGGCCAGGAATTCCCTGTTTCTTAAAAATGTCATGATTTTGGATCCCCAGTCTATAAGTGAAATAGAAACATTGTGATTTTACATACAGAAGAGAGGAAATAAGCATGTCCAAAACATGAAACCAACCAACAATTTGGTTCCATTTCCCAGAGAGCTCAGGGAAAAGGTGAGCAGTCCAGTGTGCATGGGAGCCCGTGGTTTGTACTTGTTTCTTTTGAGTTATTGT